GGTGGAGGTGTGTTCGTTCGATAGGATGGGTGATGTTGGAAAGAGACATATTCCAGTCAACAACAGTAAGTGACTAACTTTATCATGCACTTGTTTTCGAACCACACCTGAGTGATATCATATTTCGTGCAGGCCAGAGCAAAGAGCTTGGAACAAACTGAATCGGAGACGATATTTTTTAATAGGACGTTCGAACCACCAACATCCAATGATGTGGAACATGATGAAGAAGGGCTCCAAAGTCCGCGACCCGCATGCGAGGGCCACGACGATATGATCGAATGTCCACCAATCGATGATATTGAAGACGGAGAGGGCACAAATAAGAAGAAAGAGAAAAAGAAGAAGAAGATCAAGAAGAAGGTGTATAAGAGGTTAGGAAGGTTGGACATGCGTATCGATGCCGTGGAAAATAAGCTCAAGGGTGTGGAAGGTGAGTTAAAGTCCATACGGAAGTATTTGCGACGGCTTGCCAGGGTAAGTAGATAAGTTTATTAAATTTTGTATTCCCGTATGTTTTTTAAAATTTGGATGGTGTGATATGTCATTTGATGTATAGGGTCAACTAGTCGATCCTGCTGAAATGCGAAGAGCCAAAGTAGGCGGTCATTCTGGTGGAGCAGGCCACATGGACGTCGACATGGTAGAGGTTCAGCAGGTCCAAAATGCATCTGATGTCCCGAAAGAACCAGAGGTTCACGAAGTACTGAAGGTCAACATAGGAGATGAAGCAGGGGTTTGAAACGTGGAAGAGGTTGAGTCGGACTCGAACCAGTTTCATACACCGACGCCAGAGGTATCGAACCGTACATCATATACTTCATTTTATCAATCTGTCGAGGTTCTAACTAGTTTACTTTCAGTCCCAATACGTCGATAGTGCATCGGCGACGGACGAGGTCGTACCAGACCAATCACAGCATGTAGACTCGGACGAAGTACGTCTCATATCACAACCATTGCCACGTCCCAAAATTCAGCGACCACAACGGGAAAGGAGAGTACCATGGAAGTTGCGTGCGTCGGTTGAAGTGAAGGTGGACGGAAAACGACATAAGGTCATACAATACAATCCAGTTGTGGATATTCCAAAAGAGGAGGATAACAAATTTCAGGTCTGGCTAGATGACGATGACAAACGTTCAACGCGAAAGACCGCATACTCCATCATGAATAAGGCCTGGTTCCACAACCTATTGAGGCCAGGTAACTGGTGCACAACCGAGGTAAGTGATCATTAACCAAACTAAATGTAGTAAATATGTATACGTTCATGTTTATAAATTGGGTACTATTCATAGGTCGTCAATGAGCTGTTCATGTTAGTGCGGAAGAAGCTTGAGCAGCGGCCTGACCTGTGTTCTCGGAAGTTCACAACTGGCGATCTAGTTCTTGCGGTACGTGTGTTCATGCCTATCCACTAACTTCAAATTGGTCATAGTGCATAGGTTGATGACTCATTGAGTTAAGTTTGATACTTCAGACGTAAGGATAGTCTATATGCATGCATGCAATCTGATAGTTCATTGCCTTCAAAAGTAGCGGTCGAGTACGATTGGGACGGGAGGGACAAGAGCATCATGGGTTATACTGACGACACTCATACGGACTACCCTTTGAGGTGGATGGAAGTGGACGCCATATATCTCCCATTTAACATCAGGGGCAAGCACTGGGTAATGGTATGTATCGACCTCGAGGAAGGCGAAATCGTAGTATGGGACTCCTTGACTTCAATGACCACGGATCATGCTATGGAGGATCATTTGAAGGTAATGCGCACCATCATCCCAGTAATGCTCTTCAAATATGATGTTATGAAAGTCCGACCCAATCTACTGATCCAACCATGGCGGATTCGACGAGTTACGTCAGCACCACAACAGATTGGCGGTGGCGACTGTGGGATTTTCTGCGTCAAGTATTTTGAGTACGATGTAACCGGGTCCACATTGGATACTCTAACACAGTCTAGGATCGCATACTTTAGGAGGCAACTTGCTTTTCAACTTTGGGCGAATAGACCTATTTTTTGATATTCCATTAGAATTGTTTTCTTATTTTGTACGTAACTTAGTTAAATTTGATAATACAAATGAATTTAAGTATATTGACTATGATTTAATAGGGACTCGTTTAGATACATTGAGACAAAACATCAATTATTAATGGAGTTTAGGACTGCGTTTTCAATATTAGGATCATTCTAATCTTTATTTATRAAGAACATTGTATTTTACGGTCGAGGTAAGCTGGTTCAGGCTCGAGGTTTTTTGCACAACTGAAAAAAATACCAACCTCGGTATCTACCTCGATCGAGTTCGAGCCCAAGAATATTGGCAGAACTGAAATAAAGAACAACCTCCATATTAAATGTACAGAACTTTAATCTCTATTTTTGTAGCTCATTGAATTTGACAGTCGGGGTCGACCATAACTTGGCCGAGAATTATGGAATCAAGAAAAATATGCAGCGGCGGTCTCCAGTAAGAGTCCACAAATTTTGGTGGCTTAATCGTCCTCGACACGTAGTCATCCGGTAAATATTCTTCGTCTCCGCGGGGGTACACGGGTTCTGCGTAACCAAGTATGAGGGTTTCGATTCGGTACCACTTTGTTCTGCATTACAAAGCACAATTGAAAGACAAATATATATATATATATATATATATACATTAACCTCGGGCAGGAAACATATTTTCTCGCTCGAGGTGGATTTCAATACGCAGCCAAGCCCGAGGTAAGTTTAACAAACATTCCGTTTTGAAAACCTCTGACCCCGGTCGAGAAAGTTTAGTACCTCGCCCGATGTTCATCAATAACATGAATCTCGGCCGGTAATCATATCACCTCGCTCGAGAATAACYCGACAATTAGAACGCATAGTGCAGGAGGAATGAACATATGAGTTTAAAACAAAATAACAAAAGTTATTGTTACTCCGACTGTAACAAAAATAAACCAAACGAGGATCAAATAAAAACACATGTGTTCAAATATAGAATCAAGCAAGATTAACGCGCAAAAGGAGAAAGCATAAAAAATAAAGAACTACTTCTCCCAAAATCTTGAAACTTCTAAAGTGAATATTCACAATACTTTTCATATTTTTTAGGATTGTGCAGAGAGAATATTTACGATAAGGACATATGTTCTCTGGGATTATGTACTGATTATTAAGGTACAAGTCGGTGTGCATTAAATTGGGTTTGCCGTGCATTGACGCTACCTCGGGCGGGAATTTTTCTACCTCGGCCGGGAATTATTCCAGCGGTCATCTGTTACATTTAATGGCATTTTGGTCATTTCACCTGCTTCTAACACATCATCAATGTTAAAAGTGGGTCATTTGGGCATAATTAAAGAGGGTAGGTCATTTGAGCATTTCAAAAGTTTTTGGAGGTCATTTGAGCCAATTTCCCATTATTCTTGCTCCCACATTTACCTTCTATCTATTACTTCACCGGTTGTTCCTTCGTTGGATCCCTCTTTCTYTATTCAAACAAACATGTCAAAACCCTCAACCACACTAGCTCATTCTTACCGTTTGAACTGCACCCCTTCGCCATCAGCTCCTTCTGCATTGTCAGTCGTCTCCAATACTCATGCCATACAAACATGATATAAGTATGTGATTTGCAAATGCAAGATGTGTTATATTTCTGTCACTTTGAACCTAAACACAGTGAACCTAGTTCATTCACACAAATTTATCAAGTGATAAATTTTTGGGTTATAGAAACAAGGTACTTGGTCCTTATTTCCTACACCTTCTTGAAAAAAGTGTCATTGTGGTTGGTACATCGCATCAAACATTGACCTTATGGGTCTATTATACATTTAGTGGTAAAAGACTTTCATTAGGAACATGACCTTCAATACAATGAGACTTTTAGCCCAAACTAACTCATGTTGCCCAGCATGGGGCAACAACTATGGACGAGCACCCTAGTCAACCAGACCAAACAAACCACCCCAGACCTAACTAGCTCCCACCTAAGCAACAAAGGTTGACCAACTCGAGCCAACAAGCACAAACTTGATGACCCATGGCTTACCTATCCTAGGCAGACCACTCCAAGCTGATCAGCACCCTCGAGACAACCATCCCAGGTTCACCACACTGGAGCAATTGGACTGAGTCACAATCTTGGGCCAACCACCCCAAGCTGACCACTACAGGTCGGCCAATCTAAGTCGAATAGCTCAGATCGACCAACTCGGTTCAACTGGGTGGACTAGTCCAAGCCCAACAACCCTAGGTCGACAAGCCCTAATCGACCATTATTGGCTTGACCAGCTAGGGTTGATTAACCCGGGATAACCATAATGAGTGCAACCACACTGAGACGAMCATTTTGGACTAACCCATGTCACTTAGCCTTCAATTGCAAAGTCAAAGAAGAATTAGAATGAGGAGGGATCAAAAGTTGAGGAATTAGGTGGTGGAAGAATAACAAGCAGATTCAAATAATCCATGGCCAAGAGAAAGAGAATTAAAAAGTTGTTCGATTTGTAAAGAGTGCAGACAAAGATCCCACAATAGCTAGGGAAAAATAAGATCATGAGTATAAGTATGAGAGACAACATCTCCATTGGTATGGGCTCTTTGGATGAAACCAAAACCAAAGTCATGAGAGTTATACCCAAAGCAGACAAAGACATCTGGTATTAGAGTCATAGTCTAAACCTAGCTGTGTTAGTGAAATTCTCGAGTGCCAAACAAAGAAGTGGTGAGTCTTGGAAGATGTAGTCATGGTGTGATTCGTAATTGTGCTCTATCTGGGTGTACCTCGAGCTTTGAATAAAAACAAGCTCTCGTTGTAGTTCAGGAGTGGATGAATGGATGACTACTTGAACGGAGGATTGTTGGGTTTGCACATGGAGTACTCAGGGTACCATTGTCCCCAACAAAAGACACCGAAAATTGTTCAAATACTTGATACCATTTTAGAATAGTAAATGGATGGAAAATCAATATTATTGCCTTAATGAAATCATGTACAGAACTTCTCATAATGTGTCTAAAACTTTGGTACAAACTAACTGATAATACAACCAACTAAAATACTAACAACTGATAACTTTGAATTAGGTAACACTCCAATACTAATAGTAGGGATTATACCTTGATAGTGAACTATATTCATATTGATCGCCACAAATATAGTTACTATCTCGCCTTCTAAGGTCGGCACAATGATATTCTTAAAATTTACATTAATGACAGTATTGAAATAGCTTAAACTATCTGCCTGTATTTATGGAGCCAGAAGAGAATGTGCCAATGGACATTACTGAAATAACTTCATCTGTCAATCTTAAATTAGATCCAAAGATACTTTGAGAAAAATCCCAAGTGTGGAGAGCTGGAAGCGGGTCGTCTCGGTTAAGAAACCTCATGACTTGTCTCATCGTCGGTCGAGCTTCTGGTTTCCGGTGAGTACAGAAAAGCCCAAGTTGCAGCACCATCTCCATCTCTTCAACTTCATAAACAGAATCCAACTTCGGATCAGCCGCACAAAGAATCCCACCCGTTTCATACCATTTCCTCACCCAATCCACCAACATGAATTCATCTGATTCCAAAGGCTTTCTTCCACACGCCACTTCTAGAATCAGAACTCCATACCCGAACACGTCGGCATTCTTCGATGCCTTGCCTGTCAGGAACAACTCTGGTGGTATGTAGCCGATGGTCCCGACAACTCGTGTCGTGTGCGATATTTGGTTGTGGTCGTATTGTCTGGCCAGACCGAAATCGCTCAATCGGGCATTCATGTCAGCATCTATCAGAACGTTGCTTGGCTTTACATCTCGGTGGATCACCACTTGCTCCCAATCTTCATGAAGATACAATAAGCCTGCAGCAATCCCTTTGAGGATGTTGAATCTTTGCTGCCAATTCAAAACAATTTTGTGTTTTGGACGATAGAGAAGAGAATGAAGGCTCCCATTTGGAATATAATCGTAAACTATGAGAAGGTCGTTATGTTTCTTGCACCATCCTTGGAGATTGACCAAATTCTTGTGTCGCAATCGTCCCAAGCTTTCGATTTCTGCTGCGAATTCCTTCAGTCCTTGGCTTGAGTTTCTTTGTACTCTCTTCACAGCAATCTCGGTTCCAGTTGAATGTAGCAGGCCTCTGTATACTGAGCCGAACCCCCCAATTCCAATTTGCTCGGTGTCTTTAAATCCATTTGTTGCTTTGTAAAGATCTCTGTAGTTGAATCTGTGAGGGCAATCTCTTTCCCAGTCCTCCAGCCTCTCAGTTTGCCACTTTCTTCTAACCAAGAAAGCTATTAAAATAACTCCAACAATGGTCACAATAGATAAAACTGGTAAAACAACCCTCAATTGGGAATTTGATAAGGAAAAATGATGTTGCTCTTTTGGTCCATTGGGAAGTTCAGAGTACTTCAGCTGCAGCGCAGGAGCATTCACTGCAAAACTCCATCCCAAAATGTAATGAGAGCTTGATTCCTCACCAGTCGACGCAGTGAAGCCGACGGACATTTGATCCTTCATAACAGAAGTCAGATCAACCAGAAGGGAAATGTGTGGCTTTTCTGGTTTTTGCTCCATGAAGGGGCCTATAGTGACGTTCACAAGTCTTTTAGGGCCGTCATATTCAATCCAAGCAACAATCGGATCACCTGAATCGATTTGTATTTCTTGGACTACACCATGGAAAGAAAAATAAGCATGTCGTGATGCAACTGATGAGATGCTATTAATGTTGATCCCAACATCGTTTCCTTTGGTGTTCTTTACCTCACCATGCCCATTAACAGTGTCAAATTCCACAGCAAATATATGGTTGGAACGGTTTCCATCGTTGGAAGCGTTGAATAATCCCAAGTAGTGTCCACTTTCAGCACCTACAATTTGGGTTGATGGAACCAAGGCGAAGGCGAAGCCATACCCACCTCGGCCGGGGCTAGATGGATTGATCGCAAACACAAAACTTGTGCTGAAAGAAGAAGCATTCGGATATGAGTCAGAACTTTTATCAAACATCTTAAATGCATTAGGATAGAATGCTCGGCCGACCACGTTATGTGAAGTGTCCGTGAGCCTCAATGCACCAGAGGGTTTCTCAATTACTGCTCCATCAAGAGACAAGTTTTGTGCATTCTTGTTGAGCCTCGCGTTTTCGTTGAATCCATTGTATAGAAACGAAGACTGCGCAGAACAAGTAGCAGCCAAACAGAGGAACACACAAAGAAAACACAGAGGAGCTGCCATAGCCATAACCCAAAAGAAAATATGGGCGGGTCACAATTTTAACTTCATTGTTAGTATATAAAGAAATGGTTTTGGAATTGGTCTCAATTGGAGGCGAAACCCAAATGGCTTGAAATTTCCTAGACATTGTGAGCAAAATCCATGGGGATGAGAGAGTCTAGAGAATAAAATGGCTTGATGGAGAAAGTTTGAAACTTAGAGCTTCAAAATCGAAAGCAAGATAATTTTCATGTTCTGGCACGTTACGTATCTAATGTAATTCTTGATTTGGCCAAAAAATCTTTTAAAATTCTTAATTTTATTCTTACTGTGTTGAAAAATATTTAATTAAGTCATTCTGTATTTTTTTTTATTGAAATTTATTAACAAAAGGCTTATGTTTCGTTACACATATTTAATTCTAAATGTATGTTGTTTGATCAAGAAATTGACCAAGTCTGCTACGCAAGTGACGAGTTAAGGTATACTCAAGTGAGAGACCTGCAAAACATAGTCAGCAGTTCAACTCTCAAGTGAGTAATTGGTCGATCTATACTTGAGAGAGAATATAGTTTCACTTATCTTGCGGGGAAGTGGATCTATATTTATGAAGATGAGCTCTCGATAAGGCGCTTCCAACAGCACTCCAATGGTTCTCCGACTATCCAATAATCGTGACGCCTTGTCGAAGATTGCGTCCAATGCCTTGTGCCTGTAGGTACTATTTAAGGTCAGCTCATCATTTGATAAAGTCCGCCAAAGGTAGAAAGTAGCTAGGCTTGAAGAGTATTTCCGAACTATTTGGATTTTTCCTAATAATGATTAGATTCATTTGATTCCTCTCTTTATTTATGTCAGTGATGACCTTTATTGTCGACACGTGACAGGTGCTAATTCACCTTCGACGTATGTTTCTAGAAAAAAGTAAATTTTATTGATGGGTGAGTTGGATTTTAAAGGATGGATGAATTAGATTTTATGTGTTAAATAGTATAAATGTATCTAGAGAGGTTAACAAAAAAAACAATAAATTAAGAAAAAATAATAATAATTATTACGAGTCTTTTTTTTTTTTAACAAATTGTTTATGAAATTACTAGCGCTATAAATTAAAAATATCTCTTTTCTTAATTTTTGTTTCCTACATGTAAAATTTTTAACGATGATGAATAAAAAATTGGATGGCAACTAACAAAAACCTAACTATTATTCTTTGTTTTTATAGTCATGTGTCGAAGCGAATGGCACACATTAATTTCCARATAAAAGGACAAAAGAAAATGAAGTGAATAGATAGACTCTTGATTTTTCTTTTTCTTTTGGAAGAATCAACACAAAAATATAAGACCCAATGAAATTTCAACCAGACTTTTGAAGACAAGTTTTTCTAACGTTTGTCCCTAATTTTACAATTTTGCCATTGTTATAGGGAGAAGGAGAAGATCCAGCAAAGCAAGAGAAGGCTGGGGGAAAGCCAAGAGAAAGTACGAACCAGAAAGGGGACCGATGCTCGACGATCCAAGCCAGCCCCCCTGGTCGACTAGTGGTTGGCGCCGACCAGGGCTCGGCCCCCCGGTCGAGAACTCGAGAAGATCCGACTTGACTGCGACGCATGCTGGCCCGAACTCATCGCGTCCCGACTCTTGATCCGACGATAGGGCCATAAGAAGGGCCAGATAAGGGATCAGGATCCAACTTCTATAAATAGGGAAATAAGTCAAACCCTAAAGTACGTCCAAATACCCTACTCTCTACACTCGACTACTTCAATACTAATTTAAGCATCAGAGCCTTGTCACATCGATCTTAGGATTATTTCGTTTTGCAGATCATGTCGATCCCTTTCATATGTGAAAGATTGGTGCAAATGTGAAGGAATCCCAGAGAGCCAAATTTGTGCATCAAGAGTCATTATTCGTTACAAGAATCCAACATCATAATTATAACGAATCCAACATCATAATTATGAAAAGAGTTCTTCATTAAAAAAAAAAGGTTACATATATATATATATGAAGTTTTAGAAAAACTTTATTTTTATTCATTTCTCAATTCCAGAGAACTTTAAAAATGTTATGAATTATCTTCACACTGAAAAATGTTAGCTTGAATTAGTTAAATATAGCTTTTATTGTTTATTTTTATAGCTTATGTTTTGAAAAAAAAAAAGGTTCTTCTTGCTCACAAAGTTGATAATCCTTTTAGTGATATTTTGTTTTAAATGCGAACTTTGTGTAGTTTTCAATCAATGCACATGCATTGAATGTACTTTTTACCGAGGTTTAAATGTTAAGGTTGAATATAAAAAAATTTCGATGTCAATGAAAATGTTGAAGTTCATTTTTGTCATAGAAATATTGATAAAATATCAATATGAGATGAATATTTCTGGAAGTATAAAAATAAAAAATTCACAACAAACAAACCTTTCATCTTTTTAATTCACAATTATTAATATTAATATTATATCCATATTAATAAATTTTTAAATATTTATGTCAATGAAAATGTCGAGGTTTCAATTCTATAGATTTATTGATAGAAATATCAATAAAATGTCAATATGGATGGATATATATAGAAAGTTATAAAAATAAAAAATTCTTGAGAAGTATTTAAATTAAAAAATAAGCATTTTAAACTTCAAGTTAAAAAGGATTAATATTAACATTAGGATCATATTAGTGATATTATGTTTGTTGCTTTTTATACTTGTCGATTTTTTAGGAAATATTGATGTTAAATCTATAAACATATAAAAATTTCAATGAAAATGGCGAAATGTGACTACTTTTTACGTTCTATTGAACATAACTTTGAACAAATTCGTGTGGATTTTTCTTGCCTAGGGTTGATGAACATCGAGGTAAAAAAAATTGCAGAATTAAAAAATAAACATTAATGTATTATTTCTTTCTACCAATAATTATATTTTATCGGGATAATATAATTTTTTAATTTTTCTAGCCAAAGTTGTTTGTGGTGATTTTTGGTTTAGGTCAGAACTAGTTGTGATCAAATATCAAGTCGAGTTTGAGTGTCACTTGGCAAAGAAGACCTGAATAAGAGAAGCAAACACTCCGACGTTGATCAGGTCAATATGAATTCGACCTAAAGAGTAAGACAGCTGAGTCAAAATGTGGTACCTGATACCGGAATGAGACCTTCTACATATAGGTTGAACATTCGATAAGATGTCTGATCGATAGTTTTAGCTGTTGGATAATTTTGGTAGAAGGTTGGCTTATCGGGTGCTTAATGTTCGAGAGGGGCGAGATCTTTAGCCAAATTAAAACTTACCTATACAGTTCTATGGTTAATTATGAAGGTCAATCTTTTCCTTCTGGTCTTCAGGAAATCCTAGACTTACGACCTTCCTCTGTTCTCCTCGTGGCAAGGTTGTTTTCTACTCCTAACATTGACTCCCTCACTAGTAAGCTGGGGGTTCCAACTTGGCAGAGAGATCCTTTGGAGTATGAGCTTGAGAAACTTCACAGCTGCTGAGCCGTCTCAGACTATTTAGCTTCCGTTAAATATGGGATGTTGATTACACCTTACATAGACAATTGAGATCATTCCAGGCGTTGCTATAGACAACCTAAGATCTAACACTCCACTTTTTACACTTCCAAAACTTCTTTCACTCTAAGTTCAACCTTTTATGCTCGGCATCTTTGCTTAGGTCAGTCTTTTGCTCTTTAATTTTATATTTCCAACATATCTAGTTTTAGTAGTTTGACTACTTTTGAGGGTGAGCAGTGGGACAACAAGCTCCAATTCTTCAACTGGCATTGGGCGATCAAGTATAGCATGAGTTTCCTTAAGGTCAGCCTTTTTAGAAATAATGCAGATGACCGAGCCCTTAAAAGCAACCACGTAACACTCTCTAAAAGTCTTTTTCTCGCCACGAACTATGCCAACACCACTAAAGGTTAGATACTTCAACTCTTGATGCAAAGTGGATAGAATAGCTTTTAGGGCATGGATGATAGGTCGATCGAATATTCCATTATAGGCCGACTTTACGTCAATAACCAAAAAGTAGGCAATCCTTCATATTTGGGTATCCCCTGGCCAAGTATGATGGGGGAGTTCACTGCACCCTTATCGAGTAACTTGTTTGCCTGGGAAGTCAACTAATGAGGTATGACTCTTCTTCGGTATGGTCAAGGTCCATCCTTGGGCTATGATCGTTGTCAAGGAAAGGATATTTGCAGAAGTTCCTCCGTCAACAAGTACCTACCGAACTTGGACATGGTCTACCTTGGATGCAATAACAAGGGCGTCATTATGTGGTTGATGAACACCTTCTAGCTCGACATCGGAAATCACGATCTTAGTATTTGATAAGATGAAAAATACACTCATATTTTATATATTTATTTTTCATTTTATTAATTTAAGTTCCCCAAGGATAGTTTGGGTGGCTTGGGGTTCAATGTCTTGGGGGTTTCTACATGGGAAGCAACTTCCACTAAGTAATGATTCATTGCGTATGTACGGGTATGGGGACAATGAGCATACCCCAGGGGCGTAAAGGTCAAACGACCACCGACTCCTGGGTAATAAAAAAAGTTTATTAATTTATTATATTTAAATATTTAAACTTAATTATAATTTAATATTTTGTGACAATTGAAGATATTCAAAAATAATCATTTAAAAGCACAATTTTAGAAGATAATGTGGACTTCACAAAATTGGGGAGAATTCAATAGAWAAATTATATAGACACTGTTGTAATTCTAACGATCGATTTTAATGATCTTTGGGCGATTTTTCGTCAATACAATAATTTTACAACGATGAAAAATATCATTTTCACTCCTAAAAATTACAGTAATAATGTTTTTTATGATTTGATGCTCATCGATTCGCAGAATAACCAAAGAAAGTATATGTAAGTGTAAAAGAACAAGAAACACAATGATTTATAGTGGTTTGGTCTTAACGACCTACTCCACTTGCAAAGATTATAAGATCTTTGCTAGTCAATATTATTAGAGATCAAACAGAAACATACAATAGGTACAACAATGTCAGATCTAAGAAATCAAAGGAAAGATTCAAGAGAAAATACAAAGATGATATAGATCGTTACCAAGAACACCGAAAACAAACCCTCACAATGTCGAAGATCGCCAAAAAAACACCTTACGGTGGCCAAACTCACTCGACTCAATCAATGGGTGGCGGCGTCGTCTCTCCAGCGTGTATTTGA